ACATGGACTGGCATGAAACACAGGGAGGGTGAGCTTCAAAGCAGCGGAATCAAACCAGCTCATATCAGATTCCTTTTCAGCAGCTACAACCTCTTAGAAAGAACAAGAAGAGTGACAGGAATACACAGGCTAGGAGAGTGACTACTGTGTAGGCTATCAAAGGGAAAGCTGGGAGCCCAAAAGGACCAGGACATTGACCAAGGGTCAGCCAACTCTTAACGATAAAAAGCCAAATAGTAAATATTTTAGGCCTTGAGGGAGTCTGCCACACTTGCCTAACTCGGCTACTATAGGCAAAAGTAGCCATAGGCAGTCTGTACTCAAATGATCATGACTGGCTTCCAACAGAACAAAACTATTTGCTAAAACAGGTAGTAAGACAGATTTGTCCTGTGGGCCCTATTTTGTGACCCTTGCTGTGGGTGATCAGAGAAGAAAGCCACAAAATAAGAAGAGGCAGCAGAATGCCACACTGAGCCAGGTGATGTGTTCTGCAGCTCGCATCTCTTCTTCCATCTTAACCTCTCAGCAATCAAGTAGTTTCATTATCTGCAGTTTTTAAAGACTTATTTATTAGTTTATTTGAAAGGCAGAGTGGCAGAGAAACAGGGAAAGACAGAGACAGAAAGAGATCTTCCATCCACTGGTTCACTCCCCAGAATGGTAGCCAGGGCTGGGCCATGCTGCAGCCAGGAACTCCATCCTGGTCTCCCACAGCAGTGGCAGGAGCACAAGTACTTGACACAACTTCCATTCCCTTCCCAGCCACATTAGCAGGAAGCTGGATGGAAAGTGGGACAACTGGGACTCCAACTGGTTCTCATATGTGAGATTCTGGTGTTGCGAGTGGTGGCTTAGCTAGCTGAGGCACAACACTGGCCCTATAGCCTGCATTTCAAAGATAGAGAACCTATGGCCCAAAAAAAAAAAAAAAAAAAGAAAAAAAAAAGGCAGAGAAAATTTTCCAAGATCAAAAACAGTCTAGTTTCAAAACCATACTGATCTGATTTTAAACTTCCTTTCCCTTCCTCTCCACCCACATATGACAGGACAGAGAATTTCATGAAAATAAACATTTCTCCTTTCTTAGCTTAGAGTACACATGAGCCATCTGCTTGAAAAGTGCACACAGTGGAGCTAGCATCACCTGCTGGAATATACCAGTATCTCATCCTGGAATGCCAGTTTGAGCCCTGGCTGCTCAGCTGCTGATGCAGCCTCTTGTTAATGCACCTGAGAAGGCAGCACAAGATGGCCTGAGTGCTTGGCCCCTGCACCCACATTAGAAACCCAGATAGAGTCCAGGCTCCTGGCCTCAGCCTGGTCAAGCCCCAACCATTGCAGCCATTGTGATGTGAGCCAATATATGGAATATTCCTGTCCACACCCCCATAAACTCTGCCTTTCAAATAAATAAGTCTTTCCTAAAAATTACAAAGGGCAAACATTGCCAAACCCTTAATTATCGAGCTTCTTAGCCTAATAGTAAATCCAGCCTTGCTTCCTATCACTAAAATATTCCAAAATTAAACATCAGAAGTATCAAATTTCAGAAGCAATTTGTTTTCTTCCCTGTGAAAACTTTTTAATAGAAAGTAAACCGTTATCAGAAATTTCTTACAAAAATAACTTCCCTGGGAGCTCTGAGGTTGGTTTGGACTCAACCCCATCTTCTCATTTTCTGTATAACGTTACGATGAAAACTCAAGTTCTTAATGATGACTCTGAATCATCCTGATCCTGAATCATCAAAAACTAAATCATGTTCACTAAACCAAAAAAATATTTTCTAAAGCAAGAAAACTATTGCATTATAGAAATTAGCTGGCAAAGTCCAAACAAAAACTAGCATCTGGCTTAGAGCTTTAAACACTACTTCCCCCAAAATGTCCACATAAATAACCATTGTAGAAAAGTTCAGTATATGGCAAGGCAAGTTTAACTTAGTTCCTGAATGCAATTATAATGCAAAGCAATAAATGGTTCAAGCTATCAAAGCCCAAACATAACCCTTACACAACGTTCGCTATCATTCTTGCTATAAAACATTTGATTTTTAGCCAGAAGACCTATAGAACCAATCAGGAAAAACACCGGTTTGTTCTTACTCCTGCTCAGCATAGACTGTTATCTAAGCAATTTAAGCATATCAGTCATCAAGTCTATTGTAAAGACAACAAAATTATTATTGTTCAAAAGTCATCATCTCTTTCAACATATGGTCTCTCTTCTTGTTGTAAGTGCTTGCAGAATGCCACAGGCTTTTGGCTACACATTCTCCAAGTCTTCCTTGTAACCCCACCGATCACGGGGTGAACAGTCTTCTCCAAAGTCAGGAACAAGAGCCAAGATGTCTCAACCCACTGAGGTGCTACAACAAACCAGAGAGATGGGCCAGGATGGAAAGCTAGAGAACCATTCTTTAAATTCTGGATCCTTATCCTGGCCACCAGAACTTTCTAGACCAAATGATTTCCAACACAATCTACTCACCAATCTCAGCTTCCCATAGAATATTTCTATGCACCACTCTGGAGTCCGGAGAAAACAGAATGGTGCTATCCTAAGCCTGTCAGCTAAGACACTTCATGGAGTTACTTCTGCTATGCAACTTCATGTCTTTAACATGTAGTGAGTCCCAAACCACTCCAAGGTTGGACCTTCCAGCAGGCCCTTTGCACTTCAAGAATAGAGCTCAGCAAATAGGAGCCCCATAACGACTACTATCTGCAAATTTCCAATCCAACTCACTTTGGACCAGAGAATTCCAATCTCTTCCATGAAGAAACAAACCAGACTTAGCAAAGAATTTTCCAAATCTATTGCTTAAGTGCAAACTCTCAGCTTTGAAGCCCAAAGGAAAAAAATGTTAACCTACTTCTTTCAATATTCATACCCTACTAACTCAACCAAAGAATGCTCTTGTCTCTGAAGAATTCAGGGAAAGTTAAGGGTAACGGAACAAAACTTCGGGAAAACAATAAAGTTACTAGTTCAAATAGTATCCCTGAAAAGAACTGAAACACAAATATCTTAAAGAGATTCAGGGGACAAACATGCCAATTTTAGGTGGGTCCCCCTCAGACCAGGGCAGTATACCAAATTCAAAATTAAATTTCAAAACTGAACAAAAAACGCTTGGATCCAAATGAGACACAAGAAGAAGAAGAAGAAGAAGAAAAACAGTGCACTTACCAATCTTTATGGCGAGTGGAGACTGAAGTCTTATTCTCCAAGACCCAGGAGGTAGATGGAGATCTAGATTCCAAAACAAAGGATAGATATGTTTAAGACTCAAGGCAAAATGACTGGGTCAAATTTTGGGGAAATTCCTGCCAAAGTATATGTATTCAAATAGTTTGGTATTATACTGCTTATCATGGAAACCATTGGTGACAATCAGCCCTTTGTCATCCAACAAATCAAAATGAAAGTTAATGAAACTAGTCAGTGGGCTCTTAAAAACATGAAGCCATGAATACATTACGTTTAACAACTCAAGTGTTTTAACCTTATAATAGAGCACAATGACTGAAAATATCTGAGGGCTCTTGGAATCAGAAATGCCAGTGGAAGGTTGCCAATCTAATCCAGTATTTCCTGACCCAGTGTGTACTGTGGATCAAGAGCTACCTAAAGTCTTTACTGCAAACTCCCAAAAACAAGAAGAGAGAGATGCAGAGATGAGCTTCCCAGAGACCAGCGTCTCTGGACCAGCAGAAAAGGCAACAGCCTCCAAATGAGGATGGCTCATTGCTCACCACAGACCAAACAAAAGACAGATCAACTAAACAACTAAATTAAATTTTTTTAATGAGAATGAAATCACTTAAAGGCAGTTTAAGTGAATATATAATTGCTTTAGGTAGAGAAAGATTCTCCATGGGAAAAAAGAATTGTGAGGGTGGACAATTGAAAAAAAAAAATGTTAGGGGTTAAGACATTGACTAGGTACCTCATAACAATTCCAGGGTTCAAGACTTAGCTTTGCCCCCAGTTCCTGCTAATGCACATCTTGGAAGGCAACAAGCGATGATTCAAATAATTGAGTCACTGTCACTCACATGGGAAGTCTGGATTGGGTTTCTGGCTTTCAGCTTCAGCCTTGCTCAGCCCATTTGAAGAATGAATAAGCAGATAAAACATACATATCTCCCCCGCTCTATCTCTCTCTTCTCTTCTCCCCTCACCCCTCCTCTCTCTTCCTTTTCTTTATCCTTCCTTCTCAGGATAATCAATTAATTATACAATATTAAGGCACTGGAATACCTAGAACTTTGCACTTCTCTCTACTGTAGGACATAGGAGTACATGTTTATTGCCATTTGCAACTGCAAATTGATTTGTTTGATCTTTTGATTAATTCTGTCCCCCAACTAGGCCATAAGTCACAGGAGGGCAAGCACGCTACCATGGTTCTACCATACCCAGCAAGGTCTCTGACATATGCTTGACTCCCATGTTATTAGCCAAATGAATGAATAAGATCAATTGTTGGCAATATTAGGAAATTGGGCAAAGATGACACCAATGAGGGAAAAGAACAAGCCTTATGACAGTAGGAAGTAGGGAGACTGAAATGAACCTTCTGCAAAAAAGCAAGAGAACTCTAGAAGCTACCACAGTTATGACATGAGAACTAGAACTTTCTGCCCATTAATCCAAAGAAGTAACACAGAAGTTTACCTTGAGTCCCAGATTCTGGGGGAAATCTACTAGCCCACAAGGTACACCTCAGCTTAAAAGAAAGACAGTCCCAGAGAACACAGAGCTCAGATTTGCCAACCTCTTGAGCACATGGAAAAGGCAGACATGAGGCAGCCTGGGAAAGAGTACAGGGGCAAGGTCGACAGCTCCAAGGACACTTTAAACTCTTTCACAGTTTTACAAGGACTGACCCAGCACAGACCACTAATATGGCACTCCAAGGAGGGACTGTAATCTTCCCTTTATCAGGTCTGTGGCTTGACAGACCTAATGAAATACCTTGTGTTTTTCAGAATGCCGAAGCAAGTTATGACTTCAGCAGCAACGACCCCTATCCTTACCCTCGATACACAGATGACTGGTTTAACAGGTAACCAGAATTCTTGGGCATCTTTGACTTGAAGCAATGAGATTTTATTTCACTTTGCTTTAACGCTTGACCATCACCAGCAAAATCATCACAATGCTTCTCTATACTGTGAATTTTTTTTCTTCCTAGTGGCTCCATTCTATAAGTTCTCAATTTTTTTTTTAATATTAAGGCACTTTCTTAGAATTATCTTTCAACAATTCTGTTCAGTCAAGCCAGGAATTATTTGCTACTTTAATCTCTTAAAGATTTTTTTTAAAGTAGAAATCACAAGTCCTTTCTTAACCTACCACAAGATGATTTGACAATACTGACTTTGCTTGGTCTGCTACAATTATTGCAGAGAAACTTGTCCCTTAGGTTTGGGTCTGTGTTTGAAAAAGTACTTCCTCTATAAATTTAACAACAGCTCATGTGAGGCTCACTCAACAAAAGTAAGCATTACAGGTAGAGGTTTGAAGTATTGCATGGGATAACGTTCCTATCACATAAAACTACCCAAATGGTCTATCCAAAGATAGTTTTGCTACTAAACATGCAAATTCAGCCTCTATTTTTCTGCAATTAAATACATGCCCAAAATGGCAAATAAATATAAGGAATGTCAAGAGAGAAAGCATATGGCTTACTGAATAAAAGAATGTTTAGATATTTAAACTTAGTGCTCCTTTTTTGATGTCCTTAAGTGAAGTTAATGAAAACCCATTAATTTCAATGTAATATATTTTATGTGTGGATCACTGTATCCATTTCTCTCACATCTCAAACCAACCTAAGTTGCAGATAAGACAAAAGCTGATGTTTTCCATCCAGTAATAAAGAAACAAGCTCAGAGAGTTGACTGGCTTCTCTGATCAGACAACTGGAGTACAAGTCAAAGCCAAGGGTAGATTTACACTTCACATTGCTTCTAAATTCAAATATATATAATTCTTTTATGGCAATCCTTTTTCTCGGCCTACTGAAAAAGCAGAATGTCTGTAGAAACACCAGGGTAGATTTCCAGTGGCCCACACAGCTCACTTGTGTGTCCACATTGAGCAAGTACAATTGAGAGTGGCACTGGCAGAGACAGGGTCCCAGAGATTGGTAACACAGAAAAGCATGAGAAAAAAAACAAGATGTAACTTTATAACATAATGGTCAGTGTCTAATAGCATGCTTCTTGATCAACTTTACCTGCAGCCTGAATATGATCACACGATCACACAGGACTTAGATCTATGAAGGTGGAAGCTGAGACTGTATTAAAAATGTCTGATAACTTTGGGCATGAAATGTCATTTACCCTCATAACTTATAACCCCATACCCACAAATATCCTTAGCAAATAAAGCCTTTTCAGACACAGGGATATATAGTTGCCAAACAAGTGTCACTTAGCCAGGAGTTGAATATAATTAGCAACTTGGAGCACCATGTGGAAAAGGGTCCAGCTCCTTTATGATTGAGTAGCCACCAGCCACATGGTATCAGAAAAGAAGGCAGCAACAAATGTGTTGGCTACTTGCTGGCTCCCTGAAGCTAAAGGTACTAAGTTTCTCTTCAGTGGATTGATCCAGGAATACAAAGGGTCTTCAAAAATATTGTGGAAAAACATGCATTGTGAGAAAGAAATCATGTGTGGACTTCAAATCTTTCTCTGTTTGGTTATTTTCATCTGTCTGAAGGGCAGTGAGAGAGAGAATCTTCTATCTACTGGCTCACTGCAGCAAATTCCCTCAATATCCAGGGCTGAACCAGGAGTCTGGAATTTCATCCAGGACTCCCTCATATGTAGAAGGGGCCCAAGAACTTGAAGTATCATGTCTCCCGGAATGCAGCAGCAGGAAGCTGAATTGAAAGCAGAGTAGTCAAGACTCGAAACAACGCTTCGATATGAGATACCAGCATCCCATCTTAACCCTCTAGGTCAAAATGCCCTCCCTCAAATTAGTTTTGAATTCCAGTTTCACTGAATGGTTGAAGCACCTTTATATAATCCCTAACCACATTTTCTGAACCAAAACACAATATGCCCCAACCAAATCTTCCTGGATGATGTGCTGAAATAATACTTCAAATAAAAAAAAATAGCATTAAGAAAATGTCTTCTGTCTTAAAGCACTGCATATTTCCAATTGCAAACTAGTTCTTGAAAGTACCATTTTAAACCAGCTAGAAACCTCTAATTAGGGCTAATTATGCTTGGAGTAATAAAAATTCATCATTGTTGGTGAAAAGAATTCCCAAGTTTCTAATTACTCACGACACATACATAGTGACTCAGGCAGGCACCATCTTTGGGTCTTAAGGAGCCAATGATTCAAGACAGAATGTCCACTTTGACCAATAAATGTGCTTTTCCCAATTATCAAGTCATTTTCAGAGATCCTCGACCAGCACGAATTGTTGTTACAAAGACTGAATGATGCCACACTGAAATCATGAGCTCTGGGGACATAACTGCTGCTGTAAGTGATGTGGGAGGATAATGTGTCAGAGCTCAAAACCTTGGTCCAATGGCTGGCATCATCCTGGAGATGGAAACCTGCTTGGCATAAACAGGAAGAGAATAAAGCAACCTTCCCATGAGTGTAGGATATATTTATTCAAGAATCACGCTGGGAGGATATGCTCTTTTCCCTGATATTCACTACTACTGACATGTTGAAGAAGGAGGGAAGAGAATGGGTTGGAGTGCAGAGAAAATAAAAATTTGTCATGAATTGGTCATTGCCAAAGCCAGGGGATTGGTACCAAGGATTTCATGCTATTTTGCAGATTTTTATATTTTCTACAATAAGAAGTAAATTTGAAAAGCACAGAGCATAAAAAAAGAAGCAAGAAAAATAACAGACTTTAGTTTGGCACTTATCAAAGAGCTTGTAATTTCATACGAGGAGGCAACAGATGCCCAATAACTACACTGGAAAATGTTGCCTAGGCCAAAATAGCACAAGTGCTCTGTGTGTGTGTATGTGTGTGTGTCTTTCTCTCTAACTCTGCATTTCATATAAATAAAAATAAATCTTTTAGAAAAAGAAATGCTTAAAATACACATTGAGCAGGAACTATTAAGACACTGTTTTTAAGCACTTTGCATATACTAATTCAATTACATCTCACAATCACCCTCTGAAATAGGTATTACCATAATTATTTCCATTTTGAAAACTGAGGCACAGAAAAGTAGCTTGTGCAAAGTCATATAACTAATACACGGTGAAGGAAACGTTTGATGCTAATTAGGGGGTCACCAATCTAGTATATGAAGGAAGCTAAATATGGAACTGAAGGAAGGGGCAAATGCACTCCAGGATAAGAGTACAATACAACTAAGGCAATAATGGGGAGACAGAGGGGTGCAGGATGCTTTTGAGGAAGTGGTAACTGTAACTGATGCGCCAAGCAAAAGCCAGTGCAAGGATTCTAAGGAGTCCTAGAAGAGGTGAGATGCAAAAGGTTTGGATGAGGTTTTGAGAGAAGAAAGGAAAGATGTGGTGGTTGGGTCAGAAACTGGATGAGGAGCATAGAGGAAGATCATTCTGCCATTGCACTTAAAGAGGATTGCCACCCAGTAGGAGCCTTGAATCTGGCACTTGCCGTTGGCAAGGGCAGCATCTACAGATGTTTCAGCAGGAACCCCTGGCCAGCTGTGCAGCCACCAAGACATGCAAATGGCTTTTCAGGTACTCTCTGGGTGCGGGCATCATATGTGGTACCCATCTCTGTTTGGGGGCTCTGTTAGGGGGATCATGCTAACATACACCAAAACCCTGATAAAGGCCATGGGGTGCTGAGAAGCCAAGGGCTCAATGCTGTTGGCTCTTCTAGCCACACAGCCTACTGCAAAGATTGCTTTGAACACAGAAGTAATGTCTACACAGGAAATGCAGTGGAAATCCATCACAAAGTCCTCATTACTGGAAAATAGTTAAGTGCACAACAGAGACACTCAGACAAGTAGAATGTTTGCTTGGGTTGGCAAGCCAATGCATCTTTCCCAAGCCATCCTGACTTTCAAACCAACATATCACACCTACATACTGGCTTAATAACTTGTTTCCCTTCAAGTGTATTTTTTCAAAACATATTGGAAACTCCAAGCCATGGTTCCTTTATGAAAACAAACTTCTCACATACATAGTACTGCTTTCAAGGAGCCTGCATTGAGAATGTATTAATTTCCACTTTTTTTTTTTAGGACTGTTCTTTTTAAGCAGAGCAAGTGTATCTATTCTACCGTGAACCACTTAATAGACACATATGATATTGAAATTCCAGAGATACATGTGCAAAACAACTGAGAAATCTGAAAAAGCAGTTTGATTTTTCCCCTAGCTTGCACTCAGGAAAATAAATCTGCACAAATAATAATAATAACCCGGATTACAAAATGGTAGAAAGTAATACTCATTTAATGAATATCATTAATAAACAAAACAGAGAATTGATTTGCTGTGTGGGATCTGGCATCACATCTCCTTCCTTGCTGGCATTCAATAAATATTGATCGACTGGCTGATGGATAGGTGGTTTACCTTCTCAGCCATGCTGAGATGTTGAGTGGCCTTGACATCTGTCCATTTTATGAGCTGTCTGCTGCTTACAAGGTTTGCAGCCCACGTTTGGTCAATAATCTTGCAGCCTTGCTCAGTTTTAAGTCAATGTTTGGTGATGCATTGCAGATCTGTATTCCATTACTATGCTGTTGTCCATAAAACTCCATCTTGCATAGCATTTCCTTGACAGGCATTCACACTGAAATGTCATCTCTGCCACCAGCAATATTTATGAAGCATCAGAGGATGCAGCACACTCTATCTATTAAGCCTTAAAGAGTAAGGGTTTCTGGATTAGATGCTATCCCTGGCTGCAAAAAGTTTACTATAAATTCGGAGGAGGGAAGACATTTATTACTCAAGCAACCAGAGTGGGGAATGCAGAAGATGAAATGGATACAGAAGAACATTTATCCTGTGGGAGTTAATTTGAGTGACAGCATTCACTAAAGCCTC